AAAATTGCTCGCTAAGGCAGCTTGCAGATGACGGCGTTGTGTCCGTTATAGGGCCAAGTGCACCGGACCTGCAAGGACCATTGCAAGATACCTTAAACAATTTGTCTACTTGGGCTATGAAGCTGGGTATCGAATTCTCTCCGGAGAAAACTGAGTTGGTTGTTTTTTCTAGGAAGCATCATCCTGCACAGTTACAGCTTCAACTAAAGGGTAGAACAATCACTCAAAGTATATCTTTCAAGTATTTAGGTGTCTGGTTCGATTCCAAATGCACATGGGGAAAACATATTGCGTATCTAAAACAAAAATGCCAACAAAGAATCAATTTTCTTCGTACAATTACCGGAACTTGGTGGGGAGCACACCCGGAAGATCTTATCAGGTTGTATCGAACAACCATCTTGTCGGTTCTAGAGTACGGTAGCTTCTGCTTTCAATCCGCGGCGAAAACACATATCTTGAAGCTGCAACGAGTTCAATACCGTTGCCTCCGAATCGCGCTTGGCTGTATGCACTCGACGCATACGATGAGCCTCGAAGTACTCGCGGGTGTTCTCCCACTGACAGATCGTTTCGCTGAGCTGTCTTTCCGGTTCCTCATCCGTTGTGAAGTATTGAATCCTTTGGTAATAGAACACTTTGAGAAGCTGCTCGACCAAAATCCTCAAACAAGATTCATGAGTTTGTACTATGAGTACATGACGCTGGAGGTTGGTCCTTCTTCATTAATCTCCAATCGTGATTGCTTCCAAGCCTTCTATAGTTCCTCTGTAAATTTTGATCTGACCATGATGCAAGAAATCCATGGAATACCAGATCACCATCGGTCGATGGTTGTTCCCTCAATTTTTGCAATCAAGTACCACCATGTAAGTAACGATAAAAGATTTTTCACAGATGGGTCAACCATAAATGCTTCCACTGGATTTGGTGTATTTAATCAATTTCATAGCGCCTCCTATAAACTGCAGAAACCATGCTCCGTATACGTTGCGGAACTCGCAGCTATATTTTACGCAGTAGAGCGAATTGCCTCACTACCTTCTGACCATTATTTCATTTTTACGGATAGTCTTAGCTCATTGGAGGCTATTCGTTCAATGAGGCCGATGAAGCACTCCTCGTATTTCCTGCCTGAAATACGATCTAAACTGAGTGCTTTATCTAACTGCTCCTATACTATCACCTTAGCTTGGGTCCCATCTCATTGCTCAATTCCGGGTAATGAGAAAGCGGACTCATTGGCTAAGGTGGGCGCTATGGAAGGCGATATTTTTGAGCGACAAATCGCCTTCAACGAATTTTTCTCCATTGCTCGCCAGCAAGTCCTCATCAGTTGGCAACAAAAATGGAATGGTGGTGAATTGGGAAGATGGTTACATTCTATTCTCCCACAGGTGTCGAACAAACCATGGTTCAAAGGGTTGGACATGAGCCGCGACTTTATACGCGTTATATCAAGGCTTATGTCCAATCACTGCTCGTTAGACTCGCACTTCTATCGAATTGGGCTCTCAGGCAGCAATTTATGTGCGTGTGGCAGTGGTTATCACGATATCGAGCATGTTGTTTGGTCGTGTACCTTACACCGTGTTGCCAGATCTGAGTTATCCACATCCCTCAGGGCCCGAGGAAAACAACCCGCGATACCCGTTAGAGATGTCTTGGCGAGCCGAGACCTTGACTATTTGAATTTAATTTATGTGTTTTTAAAAAGGATAGATTTGAGGATTTAGAAGTTAGTGTCATCTTGTGTTCTCCCAAGTTGTTAGCTACCCATCGGTGTACCCCCATGTTTGTCTTTTTCATCAGAGTGTCGCCTAGTTCGAGATCAAGAGCACATTGCTCTCCAAACCTTGTGTTCACAATCCCTACCCTGCCATCCATTTGTTACAATTTGTTACCCCTAACCTCGAGATAGCCGCGAGTAATCGGCCCCCGCTTTACTAACGTTAGTTTTAAGTAATTTTGTTATCTAAACAATGAATATCGGCTCCGCAAAGCTACAGCAAATGAGCCTGGAAAAATAAACGAATTATTAAAAAAAAAAAAAAAAGGAAAGGGTTTTTTTTAAGGAGGGTGAGGAAGTGGAAGCAAAATCGAAGAAAATGAAAAAAAAAAACGTCCGTGGCTAATAATGAACAAATCATTGTCGATTCGTGCGTGAAGCTTGTGGCTGTGAGGAATATGCCTTTGTTTTCGATTGACTGGCCCAAAATGCGTACGATTCTTGACGCGCTAGCTAGTGCGTTAGGTACCAGATCGACTATGCATCGCGACATGCTCGTCATATTTTGGGGATTAACGTGCAATTTGAGAATGAAGACCAAATCGTCATAAGAACCCTTGCTAAGAAATATATTTTTGTTCAACCGTAGTCCCTCAACAAATTGGATGGTGTTGTGCTAGTGGTCACCACTATTTCATCGCTGTTTTTTCCTGTCTCCGCTGTTTTCCAATTGATTGAAGGAAAGCGCAGAAAAAGCGGTGAGCAGATAGTATCACTCTTAATTATAAATATAAGGTGCGGTTCCATTGCAGCATACCTCACTTCACTTCGGCAAACCCCCAAAAATCAGTCTTCCGACAGCGCCATACACACAGCTTTTTTAATTAAACTTGTGATGCGTATAACAGAAATTTTTCCAATATTCCGAAGTAGTGCTTCACCCTACAACCTTGTTTCTAAGATCATTCGTTCTCAAGCTATGTACTCTTATAGCATGTGATGTTCTGAAAACCTCGAAAAGTTGAACTGAAATTCGCTGAGATAAACTCTATTTTTTCCTTCCATCTAATATAAACTCTACCCAATGGCAACATTTTATTAAATTTTGATACTCTGATACCCTTTAGCCCACTCGCAAAGGAAATAAACGTAACATTTCACTAACCACCCTTTATTAGGACAAACCTGTAAGATAATAAAGAAATGACCCCAGTTCGAATTCTTTACCGTTTTTTTCCCTCAAATTCGATACATTTTTTACGCTAGAGATTGCTGGGTTGCCTAAACAACAGACAGAAAATGTTCATAAATTATATTTAGAAAATCCACGACTAACCATACAAGGGTGTTTAAAAATATAGAATTTGCTCTACTCTGCTCAATCGATTATAATTTCTGAGTATTCTCCAGAAATTTGAACCCATTTGGTTGCGATCTCATACTGCTCTTTGATTTTTATAAGGAAATTATTACGAGAAAATTTGAGAAAGTTCTATCAAAAAGTAGTCTCCAAATTTTACATAAGAAAAGATAGTAGGCATACCCGTATATCATTTTGGAAAAAAGCTAAAACGAAGAAAATAAATCAAAATCTTTTTTTTCCCTTGTAATTGCCATATAAACCTCGAAGAGCTAATGTAGTATGAAATTACAAACCAGTCAGGTCAAACTCAAACGCAAAAGAATAATCTGGACGGACCTGCTTTGGTGGAGGCGGAGCAAAATCTGCAAAATCATTGCAGGGGTTTCTTTCCAAACACTTCTATGGCCACTAGAGGCCCTACGGGCACCAACTCCGGGACAATCCATCGGATGATCACTAAATTATGATAAACAGTCTCCTGCTGTTAAATTCCTGCTATAAATTCATGAATTTTGATACCCATATTGCAGGGGTTTCTTCCCAAACACTTCTATGGACACTAGAGGTAATACGGGAATCTACTCAGGAATGGCCGTCCCGGAGACAATCCATCGGATGATCACAAAATTATGATAAACAGTCTCCTGCTGTAAATTCATGAATTTTGATACCCATATTGTAGCGGTTTCTTCCCAAACACTTCTATGGCCACTAGAGGCCCTACGGGAACCTGCGCCGGAATGGCCGTTCCGGGGAGAAACCTTAAACTGGTCCTCAAGTAAGCTGAAATTGTTTCTTGAAGGAGATTCTACTTTGATATAGATTCCTTCAAAATTCTAGCAAAAGGCAAGAAAATGCTTAGTTCTGAAACAATCCGGATTTCTTAGAACCAGACTATTCCAAATGGACATTGTTGGCAATGTCCAGAAAGAACACAAGTTTCTGAATCCTATGGTGCCAAAAGATTCAAAATCGGTCAAATTTGGCCGTAATAGCAACCAGAGACTTTAAATATTAAAAATTAGATCGATTTGTTTGAAAACAGCCGAGTTATAGCGGTGAATATAACATATTTCCTACCGCGTCTATCGAGAGACTCGTACAGCATAGCTCACCATTGGAAAAGAGAAATGAAAACAAAATACGCAGCATACTCCCGGTCATTCTGCAGCTTCAACTTTCAACATGCACGTTAAGCGGGAGAATGAATGAATTGAAAAATCGGCTTCCACCGAGCTGCTGCAGCAAACAGCACACAAGCAATCGACAAAAGGCAGAACGACTGCGCCATTTTGCCAGTCAAACCAACGTGCTTGCTTCGCACATTGAATGCAGAAAACGTACGCGATCACGCAGTCACAGTCGATATGCGATCCCCTTTCAAGCCCTGGCCACAACAACATACAAAAACTGAATCCCATGATGGTCCGTTCACTAATTACGTCACGATTCAGGGGGGCGGGGAATGGCAACCAAAATTTTTGAAGATCCGTAAAAAAAAATGTACCAAAGGGTCTTTAACCCTCCGTTACTCATGCTGTTGTACTTTGTACAACACACATGAGTTTTCCATTGCCATTTTGTTGCTGAGTTACCAATCGATCTGAAACCAACGAGTATTCCTCGAGTATACGCTTCGCTCAAGACGACGTAGTGGAATGCCGATTGGTGGCTGCTAAAACCAGAGTCGCTCCGTTGAAATTTCTATCCACTCCTAGATTAGAACTTCAAGCAGCATTGGTCGGCGCCAGGCTAGCTCGCTCCGTATCGAATGCCCTCTCAGTCCGAATCTCCTGTTGCTACTACTAGTCGGACTCGCAAGATGTACTGTGCTGGATTAATTCCCACCATCGACGTTATTCGCAATTCGTCGCATTCCGGGTTAGCGAGATCCTGGACACCACGGAAATGAAAGAGTGGAGATACGTTCCAACAGATCTGAACGTAGCTGATGATGGAACAAAATGGAAAGGACTTCCTGATTTGGCCCCGAAGGCGAGATGGTTCAACGGCCCCGAGTTCCTACAGTACCTGGAAACAGATTGGCCGCGTTCACCAACTAGAACGAATTCCGTCAATTTAGAACTTCGCCCTAGTGTATTGACGCACTTCATTGCCCCAGAGCCGATAGTTAGCACGAGCAAATTCTCCAGCTGGAAGCGATTGGTTAAAGTGGTCGCTCTTGTTCAACGGTTTCCCGTCAACTGTAGGCTGAAGAAACTGCAGAAGCCAATCGTGAGCGGACCATTCTCCGACCGCGACATATCCTCCGCCGAGTCGTACCTAATTCGTCAAGCCCAACAAGAAGCCTACCCGGACGAGATAGCAGTTCTTCGGAAGCAGCAGCAGCAGCAGTGCTCGGACCAACCTTCGACTTCGATTCCCAAGTCAAGTGTGCTGCACCAGAAAACACCCTGGATGGATCAGAATGGGATCCTGAGGATGCGAGGACGTATCGCCGCTTGTCATTACGCGACCGAAGATTCTAAGCATCCTGTAATACTTCCCCGTGACCACCCCACCACCAAGTTAATCGTTGCACAATACCACCAAAAATACCACCATCAGAATCACGAGACCGTGATCAATGAGATTCGCCAAAAGTACAGCATACCTAAACTTCGCATGACCTACACGAAAGTGCGAAGAGACTGCCAACGCTGTAAAAACGACCGAGTAATTCCACGCCCGCCGATCATGGCTGACTTGCCGGCGGCACGACTTGCCGCTTTCGAACGACCTTTCACCCATACTGGCGTTGACTTCTTCGGGCCGTACGAGGTCATCATTGGCCGCCGAGTTGAGAAACGCTGGGGGATGCTCGCTACCTGTCTCACGATACGTGCGATTCACATCGAAGTCGTTCATTCCCTCAACGCTGACTCGTGCGTCATGGCAATTCGGAACTTCGTGGCCCGACGAGGAAAACCACGAGTGATCTATAGCGACCGGGGCACCAATTTCATCGGAGCGAACCGGGAGATGACGGAAGCGGAAAAGCTAGTGAGCCAAGAGGAGCTAATGAAGGAGTTCATCGATGTCAACACGAGCTGGGAATTCTTGCCTCCCTCTTCCCCGCACATGGGTGGTAGCTGGGAACGCTTGATCGGTTCCGTCAAAAAGAACCTGATGGCGATCCTACCAGCACGGAAGCTTTCGGACGAGGTCCTGCGGAACCTGCTCACCGAAATAGAAGGCACGGTCAATTCCCGACCGCTAACACACGTTCCAGTTGACGACGATTCAGCTCCAGCCTTGACACCCAACCACTTCCTACTCGGGGCATCCAATGGAATTAAGCCTCTCTGCACCCTCGATGACAGCGGTGCCGTGCTGCGCCAAAATTGGCGACTATCTCAAGTCCAAACCAACCTGTTTTGGAAGCGCTGGGTAAGCGACTACTTGCCCGAGATAACTCGCCGTACCAAGTGGTTCGTCCATACGAAGCCGATCGAGGTCGACGATATAGTGGTCATAGCTGACCCGAAGATGCCACGGAACTGCTGGCCGAAGGGCAGGATCATATGTACCCAACCTGGACGAGACGGCCAACCCAGATCAGCAACAGTTAGGACATTGACCGGGATCTACGAGCGTCCGGTAGCCAAGATAGCCGTGCTAGACGTGCGGCGCGGAACGGAGTAAGTAGACTAGGTGGTCAACGTACCTGGGGGGAGTGTTGGCGCGTTCACGCCAGCGCGCCTCTACTGTAGCGTGGGTTTGACCATCGCGTACATCATCGCAACCGCCCAATACGCACCGGCCTTGACAGTTCGTCGTATCATAGTAGTAGTGAGTGAGAATAACCACATAAAGGAAAGATACCCATAGAAAGTGAAAGTTCCATGCAGTAAAATTTGCTGATTAATTTTATACTTAAACTTATTATATTCAACGCCAAGTGAATTTCTATTTGTGGCAGTCTTATGTAGGTATAAGGTAGTATTTAAAATTAGTACATTGAACTATAATTGAATCATTTTGATAGTGAATCTCAAAGGATGTTTTTCTACATAATTATAACCTGAAATTGTGTAGTCTATATCGGATGCTAAAAGGTAAAATTTGAATTTAATGATAATTTATTTTAAAACCTACTTACACCTAAATAATGTATAGTACGGGCAGCTAGTACAAGGTCAAATCAGATAATAGTACGGCCTACTCGTACCGATAGAACACCTTTGAACACCGGATACGATTTCTGATCACAGATCGCACACAATAGAACGGACTAAACGTAAGTTAATAAATTAGGTGATAGCATGCTAACTTTGAGTATGATGATAACATTATGTACAAGGATATAATCTAAAACCTACATGTATCCCCTTGCAGGAAAATAATAATACTGCGCAACTCAAACATAAATCCTAACTATCGGTCGTCTCTCTGCTTTATTATTATTTCGGAAATCATCCCGTCCGGTAATCTGTTGGCAATTTCCAACAACCTCTATGGAACAACTATGTAGAAGAAACTTTTTCCAATGTTTCAATCTTAAGCTGCGAAGTTCCCATTCTGGACCAGTGTGCACAGTGCGATTACAGCGTACTACCAGCAATCAATATGAAACTAACGATTTTAAATTGGCTCACTACTTGACTAGCCTATTGATCCCAAGCAAACGATTAACGTATCCCATTCTGGTTGAAATTCTAGTACTATGCAATGTTTGTTTTGATTCGCTATGAACGTTTGACAGGTGAAATGAGGGGTTATTCGTTTTTCCTATGTTTCGAGGGGTGAATCGATTAGCTTGGGACCGAAGAGAGTACCAGAGCTGAGCCAAAAATTTGAGCACGTTATTTCGGGACCTTCTAGTCTTAGAGTTACCTCTATGGTACTACCATAGAGGTAACTCTAAGACTAGAAGGTCCAGAAGAAACGTGCTCAACTTTTTGGCTCAGCTCTGGTACTATCTTCGGTCCCAAGCTAATCGATGCACCCCTCGAAACATAGGAAAATCCACTAACCCCTCATTTTATCTGTCAAACTTTCATAGCAAACCAAAACAAACATAGTGTAGTAGTAGAATTTATACTAGAATGGGGTACATTAATCGATTTGCTTGGGACCAATAGGCAAGTCAAGTAGTGAGCCAATTTAAAATCGTTAGTTTCGTATTGATTGTTGGTACTACCATAGAGGTAACTCTAAGACCAGAAGGTCCCGAAATAACGTGCTCAAGTTTTTGGCTCAGCTCTGGTACTATCCTAGAGGTAACTCTAAGACTAGAAGGTCCCGAAATAACGTGCCCAACTTTTTGGCTCAGCTCTGGTACTCTCTTCGGTCCCAAGCTTATCGATTCACCCCTCGAAACATAGCAAAAACCAATAATCCCTCATTTTATCTGTCAAACTTTCATAGCGAATCAAAACAAACATTGCGTAGTTCTAGAATTTCGACTAGAATGGGATACGTTAATCGTTTGCTTGGGACCAATAGGCTAGTCAAGTAATGAGCCAATTTAAAATCGTTAGTTTCGTATTGATTGTTGGTACTACTTCCGACACTATGTATAACGTATAGAACGGGAGTGAAATAAATTTTCGATCATGGGTTTTTCCAGTTTTCAGCAGCAACGACAATAAAAACTGGGTAAAGTCATCGAAATCATTAAAAAAAATGAAGAAACTCACAAAACAGGTATTAACATTGCATATGCAGATAGAGCTTCTTTCTCGAAAATTGTGAATGCCAAAAAGAACCAGCACAGTGTTCACTCGGCTGTCGATAAAAGCAGGCCACTCTCGATGTGTGCTACGCGATCGTCTGTTTACTCGGCAGCAACCATTGTGTGGTCCTCCTCACCCAACAAACAATTTTAGCTGCAGATTAGCTTATACAGCGAAAAATTGGCTTATACAGCTAATATTTGCCTGTATAAGCTAGTCTGCAGCTAAAATTGTTTGTTCGGCATTGTTCTTCATCAGCAGTTCTTTCGGTCGATGCGTCGTCGACTTTGGAAAGCAACCGTTTCGTGATGAGTGTGTGAGTGCTGACCACATTTTGCGTCCATTGCTGCAATGGACGTGCTCTGACCCTCGTTGGTGTACAACAATTTGCCATACAATGAAACTACTGGAAGCGGCTCCAGTTCTGATGGAGGAGGCTTTTTGGATAGCGGAAGATAAAGTGTTTATTGTGTTGTACCTTTTGACTATAGCTTTAAGATGTATTGTGTAGTGACCAAGAATCCTCGGCTCTGTTAAGTTAATTCGGTTGAGCCTTATCAAATAAATTCATAAACAAAAAAAAAAGAACCAGCAACAAGCCGCAGTCTATCCTGTTTAACGATACTGTTCTTACAGTTGGTTAAAAATACATGAAGCAGTATTGATATCTTGCTCACGGAAATTAAAGACATCTTTTCATTCAAGCTGTTTATCTTTATGGAGTCCCCACTGTTTTTGAATTTAATATTAATGATTTCTGTAATCACTTTCGGTTTCATTTAAAAGACACGCTCAAAGCAGAGTAATCAAATTTGCTGCACTCCCTCCAAAAAATGGACCATCAATTAAACCCTAATAAAATTTGAATTGTTATTTTGCTTAACGAAGTGTTCAGGGTATCATTCAAACCATTCGTGGAAGAGTTCTATCATTTGGATTATCGTTCGGGTATGTGCTTTTTTTTTATTAGGGAATGAGTTTTCTTGACCTTCTGTTTTGTGCTACTGAAAGAACAAGCCGTGACTGGCAGGCTGGCAGTTAAGGTTATGTCCAATTCTGCCATAAATTTGAAACATGGTATGCAAATCTACGGCAATTTTAACGAGTTTAGAGCTAGCGTATCAAGCAATCAAATTAATGCAGTGACCGTTCGAGTCTTGGAAGGTTCAACACTAGACGCTAGTTGTTTGAAATGGCTACTCTCCGACAATATAAACATCACAGATCACTATCAATCACTGTAATTACCGTACTATAGGGAAGTAGCTCACCAGTTTTCAGAGTGGACCTAAATGATCAGTTCACCCTCACACGAACGCCAGTTTACGACCTGAACGTGCTTCCCACCCTGAGGAAGTGTCATTTTGTTCAACTCGCTACCGAAACGAATGCCTGTTGGCTCTGCCTCACAATACCTCCCAACACAACCGGTTCATATCAGGTTGATCGTCTGTTTCGGATTGACTTGTTTCATTGCTATTGTTGGTCTCGTTTGAATAGCTAATTGATTTGGTAGTAATTCTCGTTCACTAAAATGACTAAAACCTGAATCTGTTTCTTCACCCATTGCAGATATTCCCCACAGCGAAGATGCTGATATACAAATCAACCGTACTGACTGTGGTGACGCTGTGCGCTGGAATTGCATTCGCCATCCAGGTACCGACTTACGATCAAATCAGTCTTGCCAGTAACGATCGTCAAGATGTCCTCCCCGGATACGTGCAGTCGCCCGGAAGTCTAGGCGTGAGCGATGAACCGCGGGCGTATCGTCCGGACACGGCCTCGCTGGACTTTATCTATCACAATCACGATGACATGACTCGATACCTGAGGGCGACCACCGCTCGGTATCCCAACCTGACGGCACTATACTCGATCGGTAAATCCGTGCAGGGTCGGGACCTGTGGGTGATGGTGGTTTCCGCGTCTCCGTACGAGCACATGCTCGGCAAGCCGGACGTTAAGTACATCGGAAACATCCACGGCAACGAAGCCGTCGGTCGTGAGCTGCTACTTCACTTAATCCAGTACCTGATCACCAGCTACACCACTGATCCCTACATCAAGTGGCTGTTGGACAATACGCGAATTCACATTCTACCTTCGTTGAACCCGGATGGTTATGCTGCCTCCAAGGAAGGTACCTGCGATGGAGGCCAGGGACGCTACAACTCTCGGGGATTCGATCTGAACCGGAACTTCCCGGATTACTTCAAGCAGAATAACAAGCGATCGCAGCCGGAAACGGAAGCCGTCAAGGAGTGGATTAACAAGATTCAATTTGTGCTGAGCGGATCGCTGCACGGAGGTGCCCTGGTTGCCAGTTACCCGTATGATAACACACCCAATGCCAGTAAGTATCTACTTTAGGAGACATTTTTATAATTGTTGGGAGTAATTTTCGTATAAACTTCATCCATGCTTTCGTGGAATCAGAGATCTGTAGATCTTCATCAACGTGCGCCGGTGAGATTGTCTAAATAAAACCTTTAGTAAACTAACGCATCCAACAATCCTATTCTCATATGTTTCTCTTTAACTTCCCTTTTTTACAACATGACCCCTTCTGAGCTCAGTGTTCAACAGCTACGTGCAACAACCTTCGGTGACACCGGACGATGACGTGTTCAAGCATCTGTCGTTGACCTACGCCAACAACCACGCCAAGATGTCCCGTGGAGTGGCCTGCAAGTCCGCATCGCCTTCGTTCGAGAACGGAATCACCAACGGAGCGGCCTGGTATCCGCTGACCGGAGGCATGCAGGACTACAACTACATCTGGCACGGTTGCATGGAAATCACGCTGGAGGTGTCCTGCTGCAAATTTCCCCCGGCCTACGAACTGCGCAAGTACTGGGATGATAATCAACTGTCGATGATCAAGTTCCTGGCCGAGGCCCATCGAGGAGTTCAGGGATTCGTCATGGACCCGAACGGAGGCCCCATTGAACGTGCACAGCTCAAGATCAAGGGTAGAGACGTTGGCTTCAGCACTACCAAGTACGGTGAGTTCTGGAGGATCCTGATTCCCGGTGTCTACAAGCTGGAGGTGTTCGCCGATGGGTTCGTCCCGAGGGATGTCGACTTTATGGTCGTCGAACAGCACCCTACGCTGTTGAACGTCACTATGCAACCCTCAAAGGTAGGTCATTGGAAGGTGGAAGATCCTCACCCTGTATAAATACACTAGAATATACAAAATTTATTGCTTTACTGATCACACGGATCTAACCCTCCAACCAACCGGAATCTGGTTTACTAACGATTTTCTTCCCCACAAAAACATTTTCTTTTCTCTTGTCTCGTATCGTGAATCGGGTCCGTATTGGGTAACAGCCGTACTTATTTGTAAACCATTTAAAACCCTATAACCATCATTGACAGCCACCGGTGTCCTCGGAATCCTCCGCATTGGACGAGCGTGCGGAACACATTGAGCAGCCCCGTGAGCAGTCACCGGTCTTCCATAGCCAACCGGCCCAACCGACGACAACGGCCACAGCCGCAACAGCTCCATTTGAATCAACTTCTTCGCCGTCGTTGTCTACCAATACCTATGCCGGTACAACGATGTGGACTCCTCACCGCCAGGATGCGGACAGCAATGTCGACCGACTGGTGTTTACTAACTGAGCGCTTTCTGGGGGTTTTGGAGAGCCACTGTAAATATCTCTTTCACTCTTTCAGTTGTTTGTGTATGTGTTATGTGTAAGCGTGTGTGTGTGTGCTAGTACTAACCTCTGGTGAATGTTTTGGGTAACTTTTTGCCTCTTGTATATAGCTATCATTTGTTGAATGTTCACGGTTTCAAACAAGTTTAAAAGCATCCGTTCAATGCTTTCAGTATTGTTCTGAACATCTTTAGAGGGAAATATAGAAGAACATCAAATCAGAAGGCACATTTGAATGAAACCTTAAAAGCACTTAAAAGTATATTGAACAAGTTCGGTGGATACAAGACCGGTCTAACAAGTTATCTTACAAGTTCAGTGAACTTGTCCTGCTAGTCCGGTGGACTTGTCCTGCAAGTACGTTGGACTTGTCCTGCAAGTCCGGTGGACTTGTCCAGCAAGTCCGGTGGACTTGTCCAGCAAGTCCGGTGGACTTGTCCTGCAGGTCCGGTGGATTTGTCCTGCAAGTCCGGTGGACTTGTCCAGCAAGTCCGGTGGACTTGTCCAGCAAGTCCGGTGGACTTGTCCTGCAGGTCCGGTGGATTTGTCCTGCAAGTCCGGTGAACTTGTCCTGCAAGTCCGGTGAACTTGTCCTGCAAGTCCGGTGGACTTATTCTGCAAGTCCGGTGGACTTGTCCTGCAAGTCCGCTGGACTTATTCTGCAAGTCCGGTGGACTTGTCCTGCAAGTCCGGTGAACTTGTCCTGCAAGTCCGATGGACTTGTCCTGCAAGTCCGGTGGACTTGTCCTGCAAGTCCGCTGGACTTGTCCTGCAAGTCCAGTGAACTTGTCCTGCAAGTCCGGTGGACTTATTCTGCAAGTCCGGCGGACTTGTTGTGGAAGTCCGGTGGACTTGTTGTGGAAGTCCGGTGGACTTGTTGTGGAAGTCCGGTGGACTTGTTGTGGAAGTCCGGTGGACTTGTCCTGCAAGTCCGGTGGACTTATCCTGCAAGTCCGGTGGACTTGTCCTGCAAGTCCGGTGAACTTGTCCTGCAAGTCCGGTGAACTTGTCCTGCAAGTCCGGTGGACTTATTCTGCAGTCCGGTGGACTTGTCCTGCAAGTCCGGTGGACTTGTAGGACAAGTCCGGTGGACTTATTCTGCAAGTCCGGTGGACTTGTTGTGCAAGTCCGGTGGACTTGTCCTGCAAGTCAAATGGTCAATTCGTGCAAGCTCAGTGGACTTAAATGTCCATTGGACTTGCCCATGTCAACCATGTTCAGTGTACTTGTCTTACATGTCCGGTCTTACATGTCCAGTGGACAAGTCTTATAAGACCGGTGGACTTCTCATGATTGAACAGTGGACTTGGCACGCATGTCCGGTAGACTTGTGGAATTGTCCTACAAGTCGAAGAAGTCCGGTTGGCTTGTTTAACATGTCCAGTGAACTTGTTCCATAAAACAAGTGTATTTTTAACAGCAGAGTTGTGGACTTGTTGTGGAAGTCCGGTGGACTTGTTGTGGAAGTCCGGTGGACTTGTCCTGCAGGTCCGGTGGATTTGTCCTGCAAGTCCGGTGGACTTGTTGTGGAAGTCCGGTGGACTTGTCCTGCAGGTCCGGTGGATTTGTCCTGCAAGTCCGGTGAGTTTGTCCTGCAAGCCCAGTGAACTTGTCCTGCAAGTCCGGTGGACTTGTCCAGCAAGTCCGGTGGACTTGTCCAGCAAGTCCGGTGGACTTGTCCTGCAAGTCCGGTGGACTTGTCCTGCAAGTCCAGTAGACTTGTCCTGCAAGTCCGGTGGACTTGTCCTGCAAGTCCAGTAGACTTGTCCTGCAAGTCCGGTGGACTTGTCCTGCAAGTCCGGGGGACTTGTCCTGCAAGTCCGGGGGACTTGTCCTGCAAGTCCGGTAGACTTGTCCTGCAAGTCCGGGGGACTTGTCCTGCAAGTCCGGTGGACTTATTCTGCAAGTCCGGTGGAATTGTTGTGTAAGTCCGGTAGACTTGTTCTACAAGTCCGGTGGACTTGTCCTGCAAGTCCGGTGGACTTTTTTTATTATTATTATTATAGTCACTTTAACACTCTTGGGTCATTCGTGACTTAGTTCGGTAGACTTGTCCTGCAAGTCCGATAGACTTGTAGGACAAGTCCGGTGGACTTATTCTGCAAGTCCGATGGACTTGTTGTGGAAGTCCGGTAGACTTGTTGTGGAAGTCCGGTGGACTTGTCCTACAAGTCAAGTGGTCAATTCGTGCAAGCTCAGTGGACTTAAATGTCCATTGGACTTGCCCATGTCAACAATGTTCAGTGTACTTGTCTTACATCTCCGGTTCAGTGTACTTGTCTTACATGTCCAACAAGTCAGTCTTATAAGACCGGTGGACTTCTCATGATTGAACAGTGGACTTGGCTCGCATGTCCTGTAGACTTGTGGAATTGTCCTACAAGTCGAAGAAGTCCGGTTGGCGCAGACAGTCTTGAAAACTCATATGCTATATAAATTATTGAAAGTCTGATAACAAATATTTTTTTGAAGTTAGCAGGAACTCCAAACAAACCTGTGAGAACTTCCTCTGTAGTCTTTGAGACATAGTCTAACCATAAAATTTCAGATCAAAACAGAAATCCAATCATGTTGTCTTGTCCCGCCATGACCGTTCTTCGTCATCAAGCTTCATTCAGCACCTTGCTAATGCACCTCCCCTTCCCTTCCAGCGCAACGATGGCCCCTACTATCGGCCAGTCCAACAACAATCGGCCCAATCGCAGTATCGTCCGCAGGTAGCAGCTCCCGGAGGACCTCCCGGCAGTAGCGGTGGTTCCCCGTCCGACGAAGGCATCCTGTCGACGCTGAGCAACGGATTCAATAGTTTGGTAAACAACATCTTCGGTTAAACAACGGCACAAACGACGACGGACGGTGACAGATACTGCTACAGTATTAGAATGGGAGGTTTTCGGTTTTAGTTTCGGTCGAAACAAATGACGACAATGTTGACGACACTGCATTTAGACGTTGTTGATGCACATTCCTTTTTTCAATTCTCAAATTCAAGTCGAGCAGGACGGTAGGTGACAAAGCATGTGTTCCCAGTGATATGACGATAATAATCTATGAAATACAAACACGAGTTAGTTAAAATGAAAATCTAGTTAAGCTTCAACAGACAAATTAAACCAAGATTCTATTTTAAAATTTGAAGAAATTTGCTATATTACTCTGCGCGTATAGATGAAGAGCAAAATGCTCTATAGCAAGCGAACAAAACGAAAACAAAGATTCACATTTTAGTGACCTATATAAATAATATTCAGCGTATTTAAGCATTAGCAGATCGTTCAAAAATTACAATTTCTACCAAGATTTGGTAAAACAAAAATTTGCTGCTAGAGGAATATTTTTAATTAATCAGATGAGTAAGACTTAGTATTTATATACAGGCGGTTCAACATCGTTCAATAAATAAGGTAGTACAAACATTTTGGATGATTTTCTTTGATATCACATGATAATAGCTATGTCGATCCTGTACATAGCCTTCGAAGAAGCGGTACTACCAACGTATGCGGCAAAAAACACTGAGGCAACTTAAGAATTTCATAAGGCACGACTTATGAACGGCACTTATGACTTCCATAAGTGTGACTTATGAGTGGCGTCTTACACGAGGTAGTTCTTATAGGCTTTAGCCTTTTCCATTCCACGAGTGGTTCCATTAACCTCGCTGTCGGTTCGCCCCTCTCTTTTGTCTCGATAGCTAGGAAGCACGTGATAGGTTTATGACGGTGAAAATTTTTGATCAATTTCCAATAGTTTCCTAATGATAATCTACAAGGAAATTTGAACCACCCTAAGGTGCTCAAATACGAGCTTACCTGCGACGCATACCCCATCTGCTGTTCGGTTCAACGAAACTCAGTTTTATAGCACCATAAGCTTTCAGCTTCAAGCTCGCTCTATATTTCCCTTCACCACGTGCTCTCCCTTTTGTGCTTCAGCATCGGTCGTTTCGTATGCATATAGACACCGCATAACGTGTTCACTGAGGCGCGAAATCATTCACCTTTGCTGCAACAACATACTTTATGCCTTTTTATGCTGCTGTTTGCCCTACATTCGTTCCTTTTCGAAAAGAAAGCCTTCCCGGTTGCACATGGCAACCGACGCAACCAAAACAAAGTAGACGCCGAATCTGCACGGTTGTGTCATTTCTGTGAATTCGCTGCGAAGGAATGCTCTTCGGATTTAGTTGAAGAAAGTCTCGGACATCATGGACATCAACGTCGATGACTTCATGCGGCGATCCACGACCGGTTATAACTTTCAGGTATCTTTTCCAAATACATTTACATGCAGTGAGCTAACAATGAGTCCAATTTGCAGTACATCAACGTCAGTGACCTGGATCGAATAATTCGCAATGTTCAGCGAAGTCCCGATGAACGAATCGAGACGGAACCCGTGCAGGACATTCCCGTCAAACCGGACCAGACTGGCAACGTGCGAATGCTATCCGATGAGGAAATTAACGAAATTCTAAGTGCCGCCGAGCTGGATCTTCAGGAAGAGCAACTGTCCGACTCGGGTAGATCAACTCCGATCGCAGAACAGCATGGTAGTGATACTTCAAAGGCGACTTCTTCAAGCACTTCTTCCGCTTCGTCCATCATTTGCTCGTCGTCGAAGGAGCTGACGAAACGTGGTTCAGATGATGTTGCCGATATCGAGGACAATTTGACTTTTGAGGACGACTATACTTTCAATGACTTTGCGATAACGTCCAGTGAGTCCCAGGAAAAGGTTGCACAGCAGCGACGTCGAGAAGTTCAGCCTTCGATCGAGTCGTCCTGCTTCGAGTTTATGGATTCGGAATCGATCATTGAGGAGGTGATCTTGGAACACGACGACAACGACGGTGATGGGGATTCTGAAGGATCGGTCAATGTGGCGCCGATCATAAGAGTGCGATCGCCGATCAAGCCGGCGTCGGCAATCATCAAAACCTACGAACAAGAGTGTCCAGATCCGGTTAATCCGGTTAAGCCGATACTTGATTTCACGGCCATCGAACGAGCTAGCAGAAGCAGTAAGGGAAGCAAACGGTCTTTTGGTCAGAGGATTCCTTCTGGGGAACGAATGCGGCGACCTGCTTCGAGCAAGTCGCTGATGGAGGAATTTGATACGTTCATCAAAATTACGGAGCTGCAGAAGAAAATTTGCCTGCTGATTGACGACGTCCGACATTGCTTGGGAAAGGTGGAAGAGCCCGAAGATGAGCTGGAGCATAAGAAACGGGAGAAACGTACGGCGGAATTTCAGATTCGATTTCAGCGGAACTACCTGTACCAGATTAATCGACTCGAAGAGGACGTATGCGTGATAGATAAAAAAGCTTCTGAGTTTGCTCAGAAGGTTTACCAGCTCTACAGGCTGCTCTACCAAGGGTGGAAGTTTTACTTGAAAAATATGAAATATTTTGTGATTAGTGTAAGTCCGGAAAAGCTGTGGACGCTAGTTAAGTCAGTGATGAGTTCAACGAAGGTGTGCGTGCAGAAGGAAATCTTCGACGAAGATGACCTGATAGTCGAGGAAATCTTTGAAAAGTGTCACCTATTAAGGCACCGTCTGAAGGAAGAAGCTAGCAAATTGAAGTGTAAGTCAAACAGGGTGAAGTCCTCGAAAGCGTTACCAACCAAACCCCCCACGGCCTCCATCCAATCCACCAAGTTGGCCATGTACGGATCCTTAAGCTGTGCTCCGAAACGTCGCCCACAGTTTCGTACGAGCGCTCCTACAGCTACCAAAGTGCCCATCAATCAAAGGAAATGCCACGCCAAGCAACAACCACCGAAGGAAGCTCCCATGAAAACACCGCGTAGCAGAATCATGGCAGTTCCGATGATCAAATCCAGTTCTTCCTCGCTTGGACACAACAAGAGTATAACTCGCGTGCGATCGGCCCGAACTTCAGCGAAAACGATCGACGATGTCGTCACGATGATCCAGCAGCAAACGGACCCGTTAGCCAATTCTCGACTGTTGAAGGAAGTGTCCAGCGCTCTGACCAAAATGTCCACCAGTCGGGACGCCGCCATCAGTCCCGAAGTGAACCAACAGCTACACCAGCTCATTATGGAAACCATTCAGAACATCACCCACCAGCAGCTGAAGGAGCTTATCCCATCCCTGGAGGTAAGTGATCTTGAGAGTCGAAATTTCCTTAAACTTTATTTCATAAATACATGGCTCATAAAAAACACATCATTTAATGGGACAAAAGCAAATTCAAATAACACCCCGCGTGCTTGTCAAAAACGGTTTATATCTAGATATCTGTTAAGAGAAGTGAAGAGAGAGAGAGGATATTTTGCTTTGTTTATTTCAATGATGTAGTTCTCAACTGAGGGCTCGAATCTGGATAGAGAGATGGAACCGATGCATTAGACTCCGCACTTTTCGCAAATCGGTTGCTTGTCCTTGTCGGAGCGGAACTTGGATTCCACGCCGATTGGTTCCTTGCAGAGCTGAAAAGAAAGCACAGATTAAAACTAACTTTCTTTGCAAGCCAAATTTGGACCCACCTTGCACGTGAAGCACTCCTTGTGCCACTTGCCTTCCAGTGCGGAGATGGCCTTCTCCGAGATGGGTTTCTTGCAGCCGCCGCACTTGGGGGCGTACAATCGCTCATAGTCTGCGGTACAGTACGGTTTGCCGTTCCGCTCGAAGAAGGTCTGACCGGACAGTTGCTGCTTGCAGGGGCCTCCGCAGATGAAATGCTCCAGATGCCAGGTCTTGCCCATCGCTTTTACCACTTTCTGCAATGACAAGTTTGATTGGAGGAAAGTTTGATATCCAGTTGGCAAGGAATTATGTAGAAGTTTAGGGAATTGCTTATGCACTGTACGAAGTGATGCAATCTTTAGCAAATTTACTGATATACTATATATTTCTGTTCATATGTTCTGGAGAAAACTTTTACTGGAGGCAAGAGATACAATTATCTCTTTCGGGACGGATGGGTCATATATTCCCATTCTCTATCTTTGATTGTATAAAATCACAGGTTATAGTTAGTACATAACTATCTTCAACAAAGTTAACTATACAGTAAACATCTGAAAGAAGAAGTTTATAGCCAAACTTCATGTCCCAGATTTCCAAAACTTTATGAAGATTTTATGTGTGAGAACATGCACTTGATCCTAAACAGAGACGATACCCTTTGCAACTAGACATGCATCGCCATGTGCATTAATTCATAATTCAGCATAAGTTTACTTAACCGTAATATATTCTAGGGTCTTCAACTCGGTCTCCAAATTGTCTTTGAGTTCAGATTATTTGAGCTGCTGGATTAATTAAACTCCCTGCCATACCAGTTCAGTGTTAATATCAAACTACTGGTTCAATATTCTCTGAGTAGACCTCTCATCTCAGTTAGCAAAAAGTAGACTCAATCCAAAGAAATTTAGAGGATGGATGTCCCATCTCATCCATTTGGCTGTCATATCAATCCACGCTTCAAGTGGATGTCTGGTCACACCAGTTGAGCATTCGTTTCGAATCGCTGTTCCAATAATATTGCAGATGACATCTCGTCGCTTTCATCGTTTCAATCCGCAGAAAGAGTTCATATAATGAATGGATGTTTCATGTCATTCATCTTCCACTCCGTAATTTGATCGATGTTCAAAATTTTCCAGACGAGGACGCAAGTTATTAGCCTAATGCTTCTTTTTCGTCAGTGAAGTAGTTGCATTTGTTGCGCTCTCGATGTTTCTGAAACTTAACCTGAGGCACTGTCCGTGTAGGTGTTACCGTTGCACTTTTTCTCTAGGATAAAAGATAAAATCCCAAAGGCAATTGACCACTTTGTCATGCAGTTTTGGCGTAACTTTCTACCAGCGATTTCACAAAACTGGACCAACTAATTTCTATTTTTTTGTGAAACGCACAAATGTTGGCTACTTTTCTCGAGGTTCTAGAAGAAAAAAATCTTAAAATAATGTTTCATTTCAAAGTTCGAGTGGTAGTAAACGTCATTTCCAGAACAACATGTGAAAAGGGCATACAAGCTTTTTGTAAACAAACCTTTGTAGGCCCTTTTCTCACCAACCGAGGGTCGCCCACGCAAACCAGCAATATCATCGGGAAGGGGAAAGTGTCCCCTACCCGGTGATGTTAAAGGTTTGCGTTGGTGTCATATGGGTGGCGAGAAAAGGGCATAAGAAGGTTTGTTTACAAAAAGCTTGTATGCCCTTTTCACATGTTGTTCTGGATTTTATCTGCTCGAATGAAGTGGTTAATTGTCATTTGTGTGAGAAGTAATAGTGGACTAGATCACCATTGACCAATGCACCGAATGAACTCACGAAAAAATTTGACTTTTGAGCGGTGCCGTGTTTACTAAAAATGAACACATGATGTAATGCTCGCGTATCTTTAGAAAAGGTTCTATCAACTTTTATAAAAAAAACTTGTTAGGCCCTTTTCTCACGAGCTGAAGAACACCCACAAAAACCAAACCACTATCGGAAAGGGGAGAATTCACCCTATCCGATGGTGTTGTTGGTTTGCATGGGCGTACTTCGGTTCGCGCGAAAAATGTCTAACAAGTTTTGTGTACATAATTTGATAGGACATTTTTAAATGTTACGCGAGTATTATTCATGTGTTCATTTTTAGTACACAGGGCACCGCTCAAACGTCAAATTTATTCATGAAGGTCATTCCGTGCATTGGTCAATAAATTAAGCAGTTCAAAGAAAGTGCACACCAACCCGGAAGCAACTCAAGTATTTTGCCAGTGTACCCCGAAAATTTCGAGCTGGTGGTTTTGTCAAACTCACAATTATCAGAAGGGTTATCTGAATAGGGCGAATGCGGAAATAATGTACAATAAATAAAATCCAAGCTTAAAATTCATCTCATTGTCGCGCGACCACGAAACCGAAACGCGCGTCCGACGTCAAAATACACATTAGTGACATAGAAAGTCCAGATCAGCTATGGCAGATTATGCACGAGTACGGATTTCCGGATAAAATGACGTGATTGGTCAAGGCGACGATGGATCGAGTGATGTGCGTTGTTCGAGTATCGGGGACACTCTCGAGTCCCTTTGAATCTCGAAGGGGGTTACGGCAAGGTGGTGGACTTTCGTGTCTGCTAATGAACATCGCGTTAGAAGGTGTGATCAGAAGAGCTGGGATAGCACGAGTGGCTCGATCTTCAGGAAGTCCATCCAGCTTCTTGGCTTCGCCGATGACATTGACATCATGGCACGGAACTGAGACGATGACGGAAACGTACATCAGACTGAAGGCTTAAGCTAGGCGGATTGGACTTGCCATCAACGCATCAAAGACAAAATACATGAAAGGAAGAGGTTTTAGGGAAGACAATGTTAGCCTCCCACCTCGAGTTCAGATTGACGGTGACGAAATCGAGATGGTCGATGATTTCGTATATTTGGGCTCACTGGTGACCGCCGAAAATGATACCAACAGAGAAATTCAAAGACGCATTATGGCAAGGAATCGTGCCTACTTTGGACTCCGGAGAACGCTCCGGTCGAATAAAATTCGCCGCCGCACGAAGACGCTGATTAGACCGGTTATCCTCTACCGCCACAAGACCTGGACTATGCTCGTGGAGGACCAACGCGCCCTTGGTGTTTTCGAACGGAAGGTGTTGCGTACCGTCTACGGTGGAGTCAACAATCAATACGAAACTAACGATTTTCAATTGGCTCACCACTTTAGTAGCCTATTGGTCCCAAGCAAACGATTAACGTACCCTATTCTAGTCGAAATTCTAGTACTACGCAATGTTTGTTTTGATTCGCTATGAAAGTTTGACAGATAAAATGAGAGGTTATTGGTTTTTCCTATGTTTCGAGGGGTGAATCGATTAGCTTGGGACCGAAGAGAGTACCAGAGCTGAGCCAAAAAGTTGAGCACGTTATTTCAGGACCTTCTAGTCTTAGAGTTACCTCTATGGTGGAGTGCAGATGGATGACGGAACGTGGAGGAGGCGAATGAACCACGAATTGCACCAGCTGCTGGGAGAACCATCCATCGTCCACATTGCAAAAAAATGGGCGACTACGGTGGGCTGGGCACGTCGTAAGAATGCCGCACGATGACCCATTGATAATGGTTCTAGAAAGCGACCCAACAGGAACAAGAAGAAGAGGCGCGCAACTGCTAATCTATCTGATTTCATCGTACTTCTAAAGCAAGTTTTGGCTGTATCCCATAGAAACGTATTTTTCACTTTTAGGACCATAATTAAATTATGGACAGAAGTAAATAAATGAGGTAGGTATGATTTCATATAACGAGAATCCAGACCAGGACATGTGAAAAATAACATAAAAATATTATTGTGCCATCAGCGTGAAGGAATTCAAGAAAAAATAAAACTATATTAAAAAGCATTGATTTTTCACCAGAAAAGCTCAAAACTACCTCTCACTCATCTGGTCATATCTCAAAAACTAATTTTCCAAATCATTTGCTCTTGGAAACACATCAAGTAGAAGAGTTTTCCAAAGTGTGGTGAAAATTTGAGCCCAAAATGTTAAGAAATAAAAAAACCCCGCGCATGATAAAAATAGACAATTTTTTGACAATTTTGATACCTGCCGGTAATTAGCCTGTTTACTGTAGTTACTATAACAAAAACAGAATGTGGGTACACCTATAAGAATCTAAATTATAAAACCTACAAATTGACGTTCTAAGAACATGAATAGCTAATTTGGTTTTGGAGTAATCTCTTCTGAAAGATGAAATTTTTAAAAATCTCGGAAATACAGGGGTGTATCTCAGAAGGATTTAGGCACTTTAGAACAAATTTAGACGTTTGTTCAGAATGTCAAAATAAGCGTTTTGGCCAAGTTTGGCTCAAATCGGTGACATCGGCCATAGGTGGTGTACCCACTTGAGCTGGAATAACCCATATTAGAACAGTCAGAACCAGCAATTGCTTCTAAGTTTTATGACTATTTCGTGGAGAGCGTTTCACTGATCAATCAATCTATTGAACTGGTCGATGTACCGGACAAAATAAAACAGCCGATTAATAGTAACTGTAGATTTGATGGTTTTCACCCAATTACATTGGATGAACTTAAAAATATTTGCTTTTCTTTAGGAAAAACGACTGGAGTAGATAATGTTAATGCTAGAGTTATTCAAGATTGCTTTCATGCCATTCGACACACTTTGCTGGACCGCATTGATCATTGCAATCTGGGCACGTGCCGCAAATTTGGAAAGAATCTTTAGTTCCTATACAAAAACTGGCTGGGACGATTAAAGCCGAAGAGTTTCGTCCCATTAATATGTTGCACACATTAGAGAAAATTTTGGAACTTGTTGTAAAAGGCCAGCTGTTAGAATATTTAAATAGTAACTGTTTGTTGATACCGAAACAATTGGGATACCAGGAAGGTTATTCTTGTGAAACCGCGTTAAACTTAGTGTTAGCTAAATGGAAAGAAACCGATTGTTGCTGTGTTTTTGAGACAATTTCTAGGTCCTTGAGAACAATCAAGCGCTTTGGAATTTTGGGTTCAGCATACACATGGTTTGAAAGCTATTTGCCTGACAGAACACAAAGGACTGTTTTTAATGATTTTGTATCCAGCCCCGTTGGCAATGACCTTGAAGTGCCTCAGGGAAGTGTATTAGGACCCCATTTATTTATTATGTATATTAATAACATACGACCAGTTTTACGGTTTTTATGATATTAATCTTTTTGCTGACGATACTGTGTTATTCATTGCAGCTAAAGAATTAGAAGA